GCGGGTGGACTTTGTCGACCAAAACACGTACCGCGAGTGAAGTGTATCGGCCAAAATCTCCGGGTGCAAACATGTCTCAGAAATCGCCTGTCCGGGGAACCTTCCGATCCGATTCAGATGGCGGGTGCTTCATAGAAGTTGGAGAGCATTGGATCACGGTCGCATAGCAATTGGAATCGTGGAATTCGGACGCGTGAGCAGAGAGTTAAGCTCGTCGGAAGGAGCCCCTATCTCGCAGGTATTCCGGACCGAGCAGATCAGTTCTGAAGGATGCGAAGGACGGTGCACTTCCAGGCCGATTCAGTTTCCGGGTCCTTCATGAGAATCAGAGACATTTGAGTCTTCTTTCCAGAACGTCCAAGAGCATTCAATTCGGATCTATGAGCAGAAAGATACGGTCTCCGGAATGGACACATGTCTAGACGCCTCTCTCTGGTCGTGTACATGCACTGCAAAGATGTGCCCTCCAGGAAGCCTTACACTTCCCAAGCACCGAAGCTTCCTTCACCAAAGTTGGAGATAAATGAGTCCTCTGTCTTCTGCAACCAAAATCATTCAATTCGGACAAGTCTCATAGGAGTTACACTCTCCGGAATGCGAAGTGGTCTAAGCTGCTCTGGATGCTGCGAGATGGTCTTGCGACTTGGTTAACCCGCAGGCCTGAAGATGAACGCCTGAATGCTGATGCTGCGAGTTAATATGTGCGGGTAAACTATCACTGGAAGAGGTCTGAAGCTCAAGAGCAAGAGAAATGCTAAGTCCACAATCGTGCGACTTAGGCATGCGAGTTAGCCGCGCCTGGAACTATGCCGCACGATCACTCGCAAATCACTCCGACTTGAGCCTGCGACCTAGGTGCAATAGAGACCAACCCGCACAGTTTGTACATTCCCCAGAAACCGCCTTAGCCCTGCGAGTTGGAGAGGAAGGAGACCAAGCCGCAGCAACACTCGCAAAACACTCCTACTTAGGCGTGCGGCTAAGACAAGGCGATTCAGGCTTCACAAGACAAGTCTTCATCTACTGCGACTTAGGTGTGCGACTTGGGACATACTGGACTGACCCGCAGTAATTCCCACTTTATCCATTAAAGCCGGGTCAGGACCCGGTTTGTTCCGGGCTGACCCGGTTCGTTTTTAAGGAAGTATAAATACTTTTTAGGGTTTTTTGGGAGAGGATTAAGTTTTATTCCCTTTGTCTCTTGCCTCTTTTGTGAAAAAGACTCCATTAAGAAGAGAAATATCTAATTTTGAGTGTTGAATCAAGAGAGTTTAGAGAGATCTGGGTGTTTAAAGCTGTTTTCTTTTGAATCTATCATCTCCATCTCCATTTCTCATCATTAATGATGCTAATCTTCTCAACTTGCAAAGGTTTAAGAGAGATTAGTATGATTAGTGAGTAGTCACCTTAATGAGGTTCTAGATGTGTAGGTTAGGGTGCTAAAGTGTTAGATTAGGAGTGCTTAGGGCTAGATTCATTGATTCATTTCTCTAAACAACTATTCTCTATGCTAGATCCTTGATAATCACTTGAGATTTAGATTCTGGGAATTTCATGCACCAAAAGTGTTTGATGAAATTCCTGAAAGAGTTGTGTTAGAGGTTTAAGTAATTTTTCATCATGGGAATGATTTGTTAAATGCTTGAATGATCATTGAGAACTGTTTATTAATGCATATTGGTTCATATTTCACAAATGGGAATTTGGTTTGAAAATGGATTAGTATAGGGGTTAATACCTTCATGAGAGGATTAACCTAGATTAGAGTTCTTAATCACTTGAATCATGTCTCATCATTGTCATCAGCATCTCTAGTTTAACACCAAAGCACCCTGACCAACTATCATGTCTAGAATCTCATGCCTCCATCATATCATATTCACATCATATCATTTGTCATTATCATTAGTCTTTAATCCTGTTTATGTTTATAGTTTTCTCTAGATTAATCAAAACCCACTCTTGTTTGCTTGAATTAAGAACTTGATCATATAGCTTAGTGTCTAACACCACATCTGGATTGATAAACCTCTTTGTGCTACATTGACAAGGGGATTGATAGCCCTGAGACCCTAAAAAGTCTTGTCTATCACATACCAACCGGTTTAAACCATTTCAAGAATAAATTAACCATCGGGAGAGCCGTTTCAGCAAGGGCCAAACCCCCACATAGGAGGAGTGGGGCGAGCTGTACCCAACGTTGCAGATGGGCCGAGCTGTGAGGAGGCGATGAGCGAACCAAGCCGTGAAGAAGACACTCAGATGGGCCGAGCCGCGCACGAGAGAAAATGGGCCGAGCCATACACAAGTGGAGATGGGCCGAGCTATGCAAAGAAGAATGAACTGAGCCGTTACCTTTCGCAATTGGGCCGAGCTGATTCTTCCTAGATGGGCCGAAGTGAAGTCTTGAATGACGAAAGCCCATAAAAACCCTAGGCGATGCATTGTGGCGGTGGCCGCACGAAGCGATAAAAAAATATTCCAAAAATCTCTCCCGAGATTCTCGGCTAGGCGGTTTAAGAAGTTAGTATAAATAGGAGATTTACACGATTCCTTATGTAACTTTTCACGATCCTAAGCAATAAGATTAAACACTTTTCAAAGCAATAAAAACCTTCTTTTGATCTTACTGTTCTTGCGATAAACCCTACAAATTTTGGATCCCTTAAGTTTTCCTTAACAAATTTTTGGTTGTGCAAGTTTTGGCTCACACAATTTGGCGCCGTCTGTGGGGAATCGAAACTTTCTTACTCTAAATCGACAAGACATTAAGATCCGAAGAACATGGCGAGCAACACCCTCGACGATAACAACAACAACAACAACGACAACGGCGCGGAGAATGACGCTCCGGCATCAGGCACAACGACGACGACAACCAAAACCCAAGAGGAGATGCAAAACATGATGGCTGCGTTGATGAAGTAGATCGACGAGCAGGACAAAAGAAACGAGGCGATTACGGAAAGGCTTGACGCAATGACTACCGAGCGACGACACCCGACTTGGAGAGCTAGAATCCCCGATCCGATGGATGGAGTCCGGATACGCTTCGATTTTTCAACGCCTGCAGAAGCCTCGGGTAGCGACGCAAGAAACCCCTTGGCTCCACCAATGTTACGTCCCCTCGGCGAACAGACTCCAGCAGCAACCCGAATCAACATGACCGAGCCGCCTCCACTCTGTCGAAACTCAAGGCGACGAGCCGACGAAGAGGAGAACGACGTGATCGACGTGGACGCCCAACAATGCGACGGAATCGCAAACTCGCAACAAAACGGCTCGGCTTAGGGAATAAGCCAAGAAGAGCTTTCCTCGGCACTAAACGGCATTCGGACTGATGAAGTCACCGACCCGGCTCGCGGCGACAACCCGACTGAAGAAGAGGAAAACCTCCAATGGATCGAGCAGGCAGAGCGCAAAAACGAGCCAAGGAGAGAAGAGCGGGAGCGGCCTCACCAATCAAAGGGAATGACTCATGCACCAACCCTCGAAATCAAAGAGCTGCGAGCCTCAATGGCTCGGACAGTGGCCGAGATACGCGCCATGAAGTCTCAAGTGCATAATGCGACGAGTGCCGCATCAGAGATCGATCGAATGCTCGAAGAGACCCAGAGAACACCATTCACGGCGAGAATCACGGAGGCTAAGATTCCCGAGCCCGGTAAGGTGAGAATCCCATTCTACGAGGGGACGACCGACCCGAAGGCACACCTCACAGTGTTTCGGATAGCAATGGGACGAGCTTTCACAAAGAACGCTACCAATCTGACAGAGCGGGAAGTAGATGCCGGATACTGCCTACTCTTCGTAGAACATCTCAAGGGAGCCGCGCTCGAATGGTTTTCGCGACAGGAGCGCAATTCAATCGGCAGTTTCCAACAGCTCTCTGCTCTATTCCTTAAGCAGTATTCGATGTTCATGGATTGAGGAACTTTGGATGCCGACCTGTGGACGCTATCCCAAGGACCAAATGAACCGCTTCGGGATTACATGGCAAGGTTCAAGGCGGTCGTATCCAAAGTAGAGGGAATCAGCAAAAAAGCCGCACTCGAAGCTCTGAAGCGGTCCTTGTGGTACAAATCTGATTCCGACGGGAAATGGCCCTCAACACGCCACAAACGATTCATGATGCCTTACATCGATCGTCAGATTTCGTCGTGAACGAAGAAGAGATGAAAAATCTGGACGAGCAGTACGAAGCGACGAAAGCAGCGATCCGGATCTCAATCTTGATGCGCCCCTCGAAGAAAGGCAACCCATCAAACAACCCAACGACGCAGAGCTCGGATGAACCAAGAAGCGGAGGTGCCCACAACTACCAAGTAGGGGCTTGACGAGGAAGAGGAGAGCCGCGCAGCAACACTTGAGTAAGAAGACCCACCAACTACGACGAAAAGGCGTTCTGTGAGTATCACCAAACCTATGGGCACTCGACGGCGCAATGCCGAATTCTAGGAGTCAAACTCGCGGCTAAAATGGCAGCGGGAGAGCTCCAGAATGCGGTGAATCTTAAAGACCTCGTCCCTAATGAGCCAAAAGAGGGAGCCGAGCCGAGCGGCACGGCAGAACCCGTAAATCCTCCCCGACGAGGTGATAACACCAAGCGCGACAAGAGAGGCGAACCCGAAGAGCGACCCGAGCCGAGACAAAGGATCAACATGATCATGGGTGGATCTCAATATTACCAAGACACGGTGTCTTCCATCAAGGCTTATCAGCGCCAAGCCAAAGCGAAGGAAAATTGGACAGACCCGACCGATATTCCGAATACGGTGATCTCCTTCGCCGAAGAGGAAACGGCAGGGATAGATAGACCACACAACGATCCACTAGTGATCGAATTGACGATCAGAGACCACGATGTAGCAAGAGTGCTCATCGATACTGGGAGCTCGGTAGACGTCATCTTTAGGGAGACGCTCAGAAGGATGGGAGTCGATCTCTCTGAGGTGACGGCGATCCCCAAACCTCTAACCTGATTTTCAGGAGAAACAACGATGACTATGGGCACAATTAGGCTCTCTGTGGTAGCTGGCGGAGTCACTATGATCGTCGAATTCTGCGTTACCGATCACCCGGCAATCTACAATGTGATTATGGGAACTCCATGGATCAATGCGATGAGGGCGGTCCCTTCCACCTATCACCTCAGCCTCAAATTCCCGACTCCAGCAGGCATCAAAACAATTTGGGGAAACCAGAAGGAGTCACAAATGTGTTGCTTGGCGGAGCACAAGTTGAGGAACCCCGTCACCAATGCACGAGCAGACGTAGATCGCAAAAAGCTGAAAACGGACCGAGAGCCTGCGAACGAGCTCTCGAAACTCTTATAGCAATTATAGATCGCGGAGAGCTGCGAAACGCGCACCGAGACGGTATGTGACGCGGTGGACTCGGTGTGCATAGACGAAGCCCGTCCAGAACGACGCGTTAAAATCGGAACTAAGCTAGAGGAACCTCTGAGAAGCGAGTTTCTTTCCCTCCTCAAGGAGAATATCGACACTTTTGCCTGGACAGCGGAGGATATGCCAGGCATAAGCATCAGCGTGACCTGTCACGAGCTAAACATGGACCCCACCTTCAAACCAATCAAGCAAAAAAGGAGGAAACTCAAATCCGAACGAGCTAAAGCAGTTAACGATGAAGTGGAAAGATTGCTCAAAGTAGGATCAATTGCCAAGGCAAAATACCCGGACTGGCTTGCGAATCCGGTGGTTGTGAAGAAGAAGAACGGCAAATGGCGGGTCTGTGTAGACTTCACTGACCTCAACAAGGCGTGCCCAAAAGACAGTTTCCCACTACCACACATCGACCGGCTCGTCGAAGCCACCGCGGGAAACAGGTTGTTAACATTTATGGAAACAGGTTGTTAATATTTACAACCAAATCCTGATGCATCCCGATGACCGGGAAAAAACGGCGTTCATAACCAATCGCGGGATATACTGCTACAAGGTCATGCCGTTCGGACTCAAGAACGCATGGACAACATATCAGCGGCTCGTCAATAAAATGTTCGCAGATCAGCTCGAAAAAACCATGGAGGTATACATCGACGATATGTTGGTCAAATCACTCGAAGAAAAAGACCATATCGCGCACCAACGAGAATGCTTCGAGCAGTTGAACAAACATAACATGAAACTGAACCCGGCGAAGTGCAGATTCGCGGTAACCTCGGGAGAGTTCCTCGGCTACTTGGTGACTCACCGAGGCATTGAAGCGAATCCCAAACAGATCAAGGCATTGACCGAGATGCCATGTCCAAGAACGAAGCGAGAAGTCCAAAGCCTCACAGGAAGAGTCGCTGCGCTAAACAGATTCATTTCTCGTTCTACCGACAAGTGCCTGCCTTTCTACGACACCCTTCGAGGAAATAAGAAGTTCGAGTAGGACGAGCGATGCGAAGCAGCTTTCCAGGAGTTGAAGAGTTATCTGGCGAGCCCGCCAATCTTGGTGAAACCAATTGAAGGAGAGCCCCTCTTCCTCTACATCGCCGTATCTGCTACGGCTGTGAGTGGGGTGCTGCTAAGAGAAGAGCGATCCGAGCAAAAACCCATCTTCTACGTCAGCTAGACACTGACCGATGCCGAGACCCGTTACCCCCAGATCGAGAAGGTTGCCCTAGCCGTTGTAGTATCGGCTCGCAAGCTGCGTCCGTATTTTCAATCACATTCGATTGTTGTGCTCGCTACACTTCCGCTGCGCTCGATCCAGCACAGCCCGAGCCAATCCGGGCGGCTCGCCAAATGGGCCATAGAGTTGAGCAAGTACGACATCGAGTATCGGAATAGGTCGTCTGCAAAATCACAAGTGCTCGCAGATTTTCTCATCGAACGTCCGGCCGAGGCGACGACCGAGCCAACCCCAGACGAAGTATGGATGCTGCACGTCGACGGCTCGTTGTCTAAGAACGGATCGGGAATAGGAATCCGTCTCACCTCTCCCACCGGAGAAATATTGGAGCAGTCTTTTCGTCAGAACTTCCACGCCTCGAACAACGAAGCAGAATACGAAGCATTAATCGCTGGTATACGATTGGTGCAGGGAATCGGAGTTCAAATGATAAGAGCCTTTTGCGATTCACATCTCGTAGCATGCCGATTCAACGGAGAGTATGAGGCGAAGGATGGACGAATGGGAGCTTACCTCAGAGTGGTCCGAGCTTTGGTGCAAAAGTTCGACGAGTTCGAGCTCACACGAATACCCCGAAGTGAAAACACCTCGGCACACGCCTTGGCAGCACTTGCTTCAACCTCAGACCCAGTTTTCTATTCGTTTTAAACCAGTCAGTTGTTTCATGTTCACCTCGGATTTTTAATTCGTTCATTTGTCACTTCGGCTAGTTTTCATTCATCACTTATGTACACTTCCCCTAGACTTTTTCTTGTCCTTGCATTCACTTCGACACACTACGTTTCCAAACACCTCGCCTCGTTGCTGGCCACAGCGAGGCAACAGTCACAAAGTTCTCTAAATGGACTTTTAACCACCTTTCCTAGGACGAGGGTGCAAGCTACATCCTCTCTGGATTAAAATCAAGCGCGCTATACAAATTTCAAACCAAAAACGTATCGGTCACCACAGCTCGTCAACGCACACGAGACTGTAAGTTGAGACTACATCGCTTTCTCTTAAACCGAAACGAACTCTTAAAACCCGGCAAACACATTCACCCTCTCGGAAACGCCGGTCTACGATCAAGCTTCGATATCGTCTCAAGACATGGACCTCGGCAACAAGAGTTCCAAACTTAGCGCCTCAAAACGGCCAAAACTAAATCCGACCTAAATTGCCCTCGCACTATCTCTTTCATAACTCAGACGCCTCGGCACTTACGGTCAAAGGCACAAAAGAACGACAATCTCTTTAAAGAGACAACCCCCAGCTCGGGACCTTTCAACTTAAACAAAGTCTATTCAATATAAGATAGCCTGTCCCGACCAAACTATTCTAACGGCTCGGGGACAAAGACATTCTCCGTCCAACAGAGTTGGTCACGAAACGATAAACATAAATCCTCAATATTGCTAAGACAGAACAAAAAAGGTAGATATAATTATAGAAAAATCATGCCATCAGTCTGAAAATCAATCCAAGCACCAACCGCAAAAATACATACGAGTCTGAAAAATGGATAAAGCCATCCAGGCACTTAGCACAAATTAGGAGAATGTAAAAGAAAAACAAGGGAGAAAACAGAAGAGTCAAGCAGCAGATCGCGTCTCCTGCTCGACAAGAAGGTTCGTAAGAGCCGGCGTACCCGTGTTCAATCCGGTTGGATCCTCAATGCCCAGATTAGCCGCTGTTTCTTCAATCGGCTCGTTACCCAAGCAGGTGTCGACAGAATTCGGCGATGCGCTCGTACGCCTCGTCGTCGATGTACTCACTCTCCCAATTCTTTAACTTTGCCTCTTCGGCATCCAAAGTCGAGCCGTCGGGCTTCTGGAGTTCGTCGATCATAGCAAGGTTGCTCTTGATTTGCCCCAACTCGTTCCCGTCACTCTTGGCCTTCTCGAGCTTGGCGAGACCTTCCTCCACTTTGGCAAGGCGCTCTTGGAATTTGGCGGTCAATTCGCGCCTCACCTCCTTCTTCGCGCGCTTGACCTTGGCGTCGAACAAGGCATCCTTGGCCTCGATACGCCTCTTCAGCAGCGCCACCTCGGCACTCTTAGCTCTCCTAGCCTCTTCGAGACGAGTGACCACGGACGACACCTTGTCGACGTTAGCACGGAGGACTATCTTTTCCTCCTCCAGCCTCTTGATCCTGACCGTTGCCTCGTCCAGCTTCCCCTTTGCAGCCGCAGCTTCACTTCGAGCCTCCTCCATGCGACCCTCGACCTTGGCCAAATCCGATTCGTACTCAGCCATTAGCTTGTTGATAGCCGCCACGAACTATGGAGGAAAACGCGTATTAGGTACTTAGTCAAAATTGTATACAAGCAAGAAAAAGGTAACAGACCTTGGTGCCGCGCTGCGCCATTGCGCCGTAGGTCCTCGGCCTCCTAAGCTCCTCGGGGGGCAGAAGACTGATATATTCATAATTTGTCATATTTAGGATTGCATTTTTGTCCAAAGATTGAGTCTCATGCATACATTTAGATAGTTTTGTTAGAGTTTGTCCTTGGTTCTAGCTTTATCTAGGATTTGCATTAGGTCCTAGAGTGTCCTGCATTTTTGGAGTGTTCTCAGGTCATTTTGGAGACTTTTTGGAGCAACTTGGAGCTGGGATCATGGAGGAACCTTGGCCTGCGTACAGCAACTCGGACAGATAGTTTGGTGCAGACAAAACCCTCACTTTGATCGCATGGGACGAAGGACTTGCAATGTGATTCATGATATGTTCATAATTTGCATCATTTAGGTTGCATAAATCATTCCAAATCATGTTTTATTTCATGCATTTTAGGTCCTTAGGGTTTGTTTTAGAACTTAGGAGATGCATTAGGTCCCAATGAGTCTTTGCATGTTTTGAGTGTTTATCAGGAGAATTTGGAGCTGAAAAGATGAATCCAGGAGGTGGAATGGTGAGCAAAGCTTGAAAAGTGGCAAAAATTGGATCTTTGGAGGTTATCGGTCATTCTCGCTGACCAGGAAGGTTTTCTCGGCCATTTTTATGTACTGCAGGAAGAGTTTACCAGCCATTTTCATGTACCGCGAGCAAAGTGTATCGGCCAAAATCTCCGGTTGCAAACATGTCTCAGAAATCGCCTGTCCGGGGAACCTTCCGGTCCGATTCGGATGGTGGGTGCTTCATAGAAGTTGGAGAGGACTTGATCACGGTTTCATAACAAGTGAAATCACAGAATTCGGACGCCTGAGTAGGAAGTTAAGCTCGTCGGAAGGAACCCCTGTATCGCTGTTGTTTTGGACCGAGCCGACGAGTTCTGAAACATGCGAAGGACGGAGTACTTCCAGGCCGATTCAGTTTCCGGGGCCTTCATGAGAATCAGAGACACTTGAGTCTTCTTTCCAGAACATCTGAGACCAGTCAATTCGGATCTTTGGGCATAAAGATACGGTCTCCGGACTGGACGTATGTATAGACGGCCTTCTCTGATCGTGTAAATGCACTGCAAAGATGACCCCTCCAGGAAGCTTTAAACTTCCCAAGCACCGAAGCTTCCTTCATCAAAGTTGGATTCAAATGAATCTTCTGTCTTCTGCAACCGGAATCACTCAATTCGGACAAGTCTCCAGGAAGTTACACTCTTCGGAATGCGAGATGGTCCAGACAGCCCAGAATGACTAAGTTAAACATGCCGCGATGGAATGCCACGGTCCACACTTGGCCGTGGCAACTTTTGCACACCCTCGGTGAATGACGCGATCTTCATGCCACGGTCTACACTTGACCGTGGCAAACACACACTTGGCTGAGAGGAACTTCTTGCAACCATTCGGCGATTGACACGGCCCAAATGCCACGGTCTGAGGCTTGACCGTGGCAACTTCTTGCAACCTTCGGCGATTGGCACGAGCTGAATGCCACGGTCTGGGACTTGACCGTGGCAAATGAACAATTGGCTGGAGACAACTTTTACACAGCTTCGAGTTTTGACACGGTTTCAATGCCACGGTCTAAGACTTGACCGTGGCAAACAAATACTTGGCTGGGAAGGATTTCACATGCATGCGGGTTTTGGCACGGTCTGAATGCCACGGTCTGGGGGCTTGACCGTGGCAACTTTTACACATCTTCGGCGTTTGACACGGTGACTTGCCACGGGTTTCAGACCAAGCTTGATCAGACCGTGGCATCAAAAGGAACCAAGAACACAAGTGAAGGCTTTGAGACGGTCAGGTTGCCACGGTCTCACCAAGAACACACCAGACCGTGGCAGACCCATCTTTGCTCATCAAGGCCGGGTCA